TCCTTTATCCAAGCTGCATTCTTGTTGTATTTCTTTGGGTTGTCCATAGCTGTGCCCAGAACTGCACTATTTTTTCTTTGTCAGGTGTTGTCTGGTTCATTGCAGTCTCTCCATTGATGGATTGGTAGAACCATTTCTGATTCAACTCAGATTGGAGATTCTGCCTGAAATGTGCAATTTGAGCTTCATATCTGCTGATTTTCTTGACTGTGGCTATTATTTGCTGCTTTATTATTACCAGTGTTTCCTTGATCTTCCTTGTCTCTGTTGGAAAATATGGGGTTTCAACCAAGCCTGTCTCACATGAGCACAAAGGGAGGGGAGGCTTCACTGCAGCCTAGCTTTGCTGCTTTGTGTAGGTGGGGCTTGGATCCCGCCTTTTGTCCTGTTTCCCTCATTTTCTTTCCTCTTCTCCTCATGGCTCTCCATGTGGTAGGAATGAATCCTCTCCCCTCCTCATGGTTTTTGTACTAGCATTTCACAACCTCAACAGTCTCTAGGCGATATGTCTTGATCAGGTGTCTTGTTCTTCAGCTTCTTTTCTGTCGTCTGTTCTAACTTGCTTGCATCTGATCTTAACATGCTGATCTTATTTTCCAACCTGATCTTCCATTTTGGTGATGCACTGTTTGGTTTTTTTTTCTTGTTAGCATTTCACAACCTCAACAGTCTCTAGGCGATATGTCTTGATCAGGTGTCTTGTTCTTCAGCTTCTTTTCTGTCGTCTGTTCTAACTTGCTTGCATCTGATCTTAACATGCTGATCTTATTTTCCAACCTGATCTTCCATTTTGGTGATGCACTGTTTGGTTTTTTTTTCTTGTTGATTTTGCATCCAAGATCTTCAGTTAAAACTGCAATTGTGCTATACATCAGTTCATTTGTTTCTTGCAGTGAGCTGATGCTTATATTTGATATTACAGTATTGGCATCTTTCAATACTTGTGTTAGCTGTTTTTTTTGTAACAAGCTTCAATGCAGGCAACCTTATTCTGTTGTTTCTGTGCTGTTCTAGATGCTTGGTTATTCTTCATTTCAGCTCCTCTTGTTTTCTCAGTTAGAGGACTTTGTTCTTTCTGAGGAGAAGGTAGATGAGATGATGCCTGGTTTGGGAATGAAAACAGTTCAATAGCAATGCTGGCTTCCTCTACTACCGACTCTCCCTGGTTTGTTTCTACTGTCTGAGCTACTTCTGGCAAGGCTTTTGTTTCTTTGTCCTGGGTAGACCTTTGCAGTTCTACTCCTGTGAATACTTTATTTCATCTTATAAATCAGTGTTGATCTGCTAGCCTCTGTTCTGTTATTTCTGATCCTGGATGTTGTTCTTTCCAGAACTGGTGCATTCTCTTCAGATATCTTCTTTTTGTTGGACTTGATTTATAATAGCGAATCTTTATTTCTTTGTTTTCAATCTTTGTATATTTGCAACGAGTAAGCAACTTTTCTTCCAGAAGTCTTACAGCTGCTGGCCTTGGTTGCTCAGCCAACAGTCCTGACTCCTGTAGCCCACTTGTCACCAAATATCCAGGAACATCAACACCTAGCATGGTCCTTGTTGACATGGGTGAAGACTGATCCAGAATATGTTTCTGTAAGTTACATCTCAGCATATGGTTTATGGGAGAGACACTCTTTGTTTGGCTCCTCTGATGAGACCTGTCCAGTATGGTTGAACCTCTGGCATAGCTCTCATCTTCCTCAGAGCATGCAAGCCCCATAACCATGTCAAGGTAGTGCCTCACTGGGGGTTATTATCATGGCTGGTCACACAGTCAGCCAGATGTTTAGACTGGATTTGGCATTTTTATCCACCTATTCAGTTTTTCCCAAGGACCTGGGATAGGAAGATGTTGTTGTGTGATGGTGTTAAGCTGTTACAAGTAAAACTCTTTTGCAATCGACTGATGTTGGTTTTGTCAGTGCCAATGATCTTCAAGTGTTGCTCCAGATGTTTTTGGATTGCATCCAAGGCGCCTATAAGTATTGGTACTATCTTTGCTTACTTTTGCCATAGTCATTCTATTTGCAGGTCTTTATATTTTGTGACTTTCTCCAGTTATTTCTCTTCTATTCTGCTGTCTTCAGGTATTGCAATGTCCACTATCCAGTTTGGGCTGTTGTGTGGTAGGTGCTTGTCTGTTTGAATTCTAAAGTCCCAGAGTTCTTGAGCTTCTTCATTTTCTATTACTTTGTCTGTTTTGTGGTCCCACCAGTTCTTGCTTGCA